AATATAAGTTTGAAATATCTCGATTTATAAAAAATTATTGCAGAGCAATCAAATGCACGTCTATTCACGTTGACACTCTATTCACGTTGACAAATCGAAGTGGAAGTCATATTTTATCATCTTTAATACGCCATTTCGGATTTATTGTTAATTGGCTCAAAAGTAAAATAAGAATGAAAGTAAGAGGTTGCTAATGATAAGAAAATGAGGGATAAGCATTTTGGTTTTGTTTTTGTGTAGCAAAACTGTAATCAGAGGATGTAAGAAATGTCAACGAAAACACTAACAGCCGGTGTGAACAGCCTTCAGCCCACAATCCCAAAACACGTTTTCAAAGTGTTTTCGTTGTCGGTCAGAACATGGTATAATATTCTATTCAATTGGGAATAAGATTTTCGACTTCGTTTTTTCGATATCGATATTGTTCAGCCCGATATATCGCCATATTGATTTTACATGCAATGAATTAAATCGATTCATGTTATCGATACTTTCTTAAATATCGAACATTCCTAGTAACAATTGTTTTAACTAGAGGTGTCAAACTATCGATAGTCACAACATCGATAGTTTTGATAGTTTTCAGAAAAACTATCAATATTCACGATAGTCTCGAAAAAAACAAAACTATCGATAGCACTATCGATAGCGCTAAATCAGTTAGGTTGCTTTGTTTTACAGGTCATAGTGAAATAAATATTATCTTATAAAANTTTTAACAATTTTGTTGTTTCCCGCCAGTAAATATCTGAAGTCGGTTTATATCTAATCTCATGTTTTGTTTGTAACTTCTAAAGAGGTGCCGGAAAAATGGCCAGACCGCAGATTAGCTATCGGCCTCCCATGACTGATTCCGAAGATTCAGATGGCTACGAAGGATTTTATTTTGGTGATATGGTTAGTATGTATGCGCTAAAAGAGTTAATTGACGTGGTATTGTATTTATTACTCAAGAGTCATTTTCAAGGACACGAGGCGTGCGCATAATGCATTACCTTCTTTTTGGCAAGACCATTATATGACTCTTCCACTTTTTAGCCTTCGAAAAAACAAAGCCAAACGGCGACCTCTTGGCAACAGCAACAAAACAAACATTCGGAAATATTACTATCCGTAAGGAACGGAGATTTTGAAAAGTTGAGGCAACAAGTTCGTGAGCTAAACATATCTATCAATGAATCAGTGAACGGTAAGTAAAAAAAATTGTATTTTTGGTATTAATACTCAAGTAATTTCAGGCGGATTTACATTGCTGATGACTGCTTGTCGTGAGGGGCAGTTGTCTATAGTGAGATGCTTGTTGGAAGATTTCCGAGCAGATGCCAATAAACAGGTGGACTCTTTCACGCCACTTATGTTAGCCTGTGAATGTACAAACAAGGATTCACATGTAATTGACCAAATAGTTCAGCTTTTACTCAAACATGGCGCAGTGATAAATGTTTCCGACAAGTATGGGACTACACCCTTTATGCACGCCTGCAAAAACGGCTACACTTCTATAGTTAGGCGGATGTTGAAAGATGTATCATTCGATGCAGTTGACAATCAAGGATGTACTCCAATATTTCACGCTATAGAAAATAACCGGGCAGACGTGGTAAAATTATTGGTAGAAGCTGGGGTTAACGCAACTATTGCTAATAGGAAGGGCTATACGCCAGTTCAAGTAGCGCAATTCCACGGATTTTATGATCTACTTGATTTCTTGCCCAAAGAAAAGGATACGTATCTTGTGCCACCGCAGTTCCTCGGCTACAACACCTTACGGGACTACATCCCAAGAATATTTTTGAAATCCGATTGCCCAGAGTATTTTCAGGAAATAAACGCGATACTCTTATCATTAAACATGGGAAAATATCTAGAGTATTTTGCAAAGGAACAGATTTCTCTGTTACAATTTCTCTCCATGAGTGATGATCAAATGAAAGAGATTGGCATTAAATATCCCATTTTCAGAATGAAAATAATGAAAGGACTTCTTGAGTAAGTAATCAGCACAATAAAATTGTTGATTCATTAACATACAAAAGTTTTCATAATTCTTCATAAAAAGTTTCCATTTGCATCACTGGACTAAAAAATCCATTGCCAGAGTAAGTCGGTCCTCAAAAGAGAAGTGAGTATTTTGTTAAAAATTAAGAGGAAATATATGTATGCCATCTAATTTTACAAATTTTCCCTTTTGTAGTTTTTATGAAATTTTAATGGTAACTGCCAATCATTTGCAACATTCGGTAATCATAATTGCAACTATACGGTTTGTGAAAGCGCACGTCGTATCAGGCGAGCTGGGCAATATCTCGCAGGAGCATTTGCAGGCATTGCAGCGTAATTTAAATGAATACCGCACGACAATAAAAGAACTGCACAAAACCACCAAATATGTAAGTAGTTGTGTAATATGCACATTCGGGCTACATACTTATGTTTTCTTTAATATTTTTCCAGCTGGCGTCTTTCAGCCCTACAAAAAACCCATTGTATATTGACTACGATGAGTATGTCGCTGAACGCAAACGTCTTAAATTAAGCTGTTATTTCAAGTACACCACAATAGTTATTGGTATTTCGATATTTATCTGCCTTAAAGTGAGAAAGCTCTTTTTTGGTTCCTAAATACTCAAAATGTCCACTCCTAAAATAGTAATAAAGCATTTTATATAATGCTTTGAAGATAACTGCATTGTTATAAATATGTTTGAATTGGGTTCAATAAGATACATACATAAATTGCAAACATGAACGAAAAAGCATCAAAAAATCGTTAAATTGACGATACATCAATGCCGGTTTCAGCGATTTATTGACACCGACTTTAGTGTGACTCAAGTTTGAATTCAACTTATCCATTATGCTCCTAACATTTTTTACTGGCCATGAATTTTATTACTTATTCTTTTGGGGAACATTCAGAAATTTCGGGTAATCTTCGACTTCGAAAGTGGTGATCGAACGAATTTTCATTTGGTATTATGACGTTCACAATAGTATATTTTTCACCGCTCAGAAGCTTTGTCTACAAATCGAGCAAACTAGCAAAGTGTGCTTATACATATTTATGTAAATTTGTGCAAACTAATATGAAATAAAAAAGAAAGAGAGATTATAAAAACGTGCAAAATGAGTACAACCGAATTCTGGTTCAACGATTCGTCAGAGGATGAGAGCTTAGTAAACTGGCCAGGAGTAGCAAATGTTTAAGAGAGTTTAAATGTAGTCTTTCGAATATATTCATTAAAAAGTTCCGACTGTCTAAAGAGGCGTTTGTGAGCCAACTCTATTTAAAATATTTTAAAACTATCAACAGCTCTACTATTTTGTTCTCAGAGATCGTGCCAACTGAGTATTGGGATTTTCTTTTACAAGTAGAACTGGATGAAATTAATCAAAATTGTTTAAAATTAGTGTCTAGCCGCCAAAAAGAAAGAAAAATATTCAAAATCATACATTTTTAACAATTTTCTAACTTCGCTACACTATCGAAAGCAAAATTCTGTTCGACAGAAAATTCGATATTCAACGAAAATTTCGACACGTTTACATAGCTCAGAATACGAATTTTACTTATCGACCTTCGCTGGCTATCGAATGCAACTCATAATAAGGGCCGCAACCTAACAAATTGTGAAACATCGATGTTTTTCTGCCAATGTATTTTAGCATCGATAATAATTTTTCCGCTGCATCGAAACAGCGATGTACTGATGTTACTCCCCAAAATTTGCATCCCTACATGGAAACGCCAGAAGCTATCGAAAAACAAATTATATTGCAACCACTCTGTATCTTGTATCGTTCCTGGTATATACATCTAAAATAATTTCATAACTTTGTTACCATTGTTTTGCTGTCAAAACAATTAATAATCGGCTTTTCCCCAACGGCTCAAAGGATCATTGCTTTCAAAGGTCAAAAAGACAAAAAAAATAATAATTTAAAGAAAAACGTAGTAAAAACAAAAAGACTTGGTAAACAAGAGGCGCTGTAGCAAACAATGTTGCGGCAAATATTGGTAAGCGTTAAACTAGCCTGCAATCTGCAGTTTGCAAAAATACAATTGCGTTTTACAATGATTTGTTGCATAATTCTCTATTGAAGTATTTGAATTGCCGCCGCATTGCATTGCGAACCCAGACGTTTTCATCGAAACTGAGCGGCGGCGACGGAAAGGATAAGTCAGAGGTTTTAAACCATGCAGATGTACCAATAATAGACTACGATGATCCCGATTATTTGCCCCTCCCAGAATATCCACTGCGACCTGACGAGCCCTTGCAGGTTCGCAAACAACGGTGAGCTACACGTTTTATTATAGTCTGAGATAATGCTGAATCCATGGTAGCCCAATTTTGGTGAAATCTACGAAAATGCAATCACTGAATCCTAATAGCTTTCAAATAATGATATAAATGTTTATAGATCAAAATGAATGTTTCTCTCAATCGTGCATTCAAAGTATACGCTGCGTTCGTAGCTATTCGGATTCAGTGATGCATTTTCGTAGATTTCACGAAAAATCGGACTAGGATGCACCCAGTGAAAGCCCTAATACGGTGTTCGCATGAGGCGATTTTACAGGCCCCTTTTAGCTGACAGCAACAATCGCTTAATGTGAACCCCAATGAAGTTGGGGTGCAACCAACTTTTGATTCAACTAATCCCCTCTAAAACTGCCTGCAAAATCGCCTCATGCGAATAATTATTCTTTCAGCCTTATATATCAGTCTCGTAAGCGTGGTATGCTGGAGAACGATTTGATATTAAGCACTTTTGTCGCCCGTTACCTAAAGGATATGGATGCTGCACTGACAGCACAATACGATCAGCTCATCAATGGGGTAACCAATGATTGGGACATATATTACTGGGCAACTAATGTTAAGCCAACCCCCCCTGAACACGACAACGACGTTATGCGTATGCTCAAGGAGCATGTGGCTAATTCTCAACGTGAAAAGCGTTTGCGTCAACCAAACTTATAAAGAATTATAATATGTATTAATGATAATTAAATAGTTTTTAATTTCTGTTGATTATGCACATACAGTTGTCCATTAATTACATACTTAGCATCGTTCAAACACTTTGTATAATCGTGATAAATTTGTTAGTTCATATAAATGTTGTCTGAGGTTATTGGGAGGCAGTAAGTATCGTTTCAAGCCGGGATATAAGATATGCTCTACTAGCCATTTATGTCGTTGTGGTTGTAACCCCATTTCTAAACAGGAAGTAAGTGCATAAAAGCGGGCTGTTTCGCGGCAAAATGTCTCAAAACATTCTATTTCCGATTCCCAATCCACTTCTGTAGCCAGACGCAATAAGTATAATGGTAAATGAGTACTGCAGGGATAGTGCTGCGGTAAAATAGCGGGGAGAGTTTCTAGTTGGCCCTCTTCGGTGATGCGCAATGAAAAGTATTCACGCATTATTGGAGCCTTTTCAAGAAGAATATTGCTTGCACGATCAGCAAGTTCACTTTTGTTTCCATCCGCTGGCGACCAACCAGCCTCTTCACAATCGAGGGCAATTAATACAGCCTCCCTAATATTTAGGGATGGCTCCAATTTAATGTGCGGTAGGTTTTGAAATTCGAATAAGAGACGCTGGTAAAAAAGTTCTTCACTAGAGTAGCCAAGATAAAACGAAAATAAAAGAATAATGTTAATTATGTAAAACGATAAATATAATTGGAAGAATATATGTACATACATACCAAACCTTGATTGTATTGCATAAAAATAGCTTAGTTTCCTGCTGAAACAGGGCAAATGTTTGGTCCACTATTCCCACAAAAACAAGCTCTTTAAGTGTCTTACGCAACATAATATTGAGCCGTCGCTCTATATTGTCTTGCATTTTCTTTACGCTTGTAAGTTGAACCTGCGACTTGCGCGAAGTACCAACGCACAAGCTGTCATCAGTCACATTACCGATACTCGTAGAATTTGAATTGGTGGTAGGTTCAGATGTTTGCTTTTGCAAAAGAAACTTTCCTAATTTTTGTTCTTTAGAATCGGTGCGGACACGATCTTTATCATTACGCTCCTTGTCTTTATTTTTTACCTCTGCCTCCTCGATATTATGTTCAGAACTGGGTACAACTGAGAAACGTAGCTGTTTGTAAAAAGTACGAGCTGCATTACTACCCAGTAACTTTAATTCTATTCGCCTTTTGATTTTATCAATTATTTCATCTTCATACAGAAAGTGAACTTCATGCTTTGTTGGATGAACACTAACATCCAACTGTTTGGGAGCCATTTCTAGACTAATATAAATAAAAGGGTGCATCCCTTTTGGCAGGTAGGTGCTGTAGACTCCGTCAATGGCTGTTTTTAGGGCTGTAACATAGTATTTAAGGAAAAGATAAAATTTACATTCAAATTCAATTTCACATACCAGCAGAATCCACTAGTCTATGGTTTATGAACAGTAACATTGTGCCCCGCTTAGCTGAATAGTCTACCTTTGTTACCAGTGCGGTCATTTTAAATTTATGTACATCGTCTTCGTAATCAACGGGTAACAAAGTGCCACCGATTTGCGGTCCGTATATGTGAGATATATTTTCTTCGCGAGAATTACTGCCTACTGTGCGTACTGCTGGCTGTTCGCCATACTTTTTCAGTGTGAAGGCAACGTTTGAATTGTGGACCGCATATTTGGACATGACTTCACAAATTTTTTGCATTTCTTCGGCAGGTGATTTTAAACACTGCCGTCTCTGTGGCATATTATAGAAGAGATCTTCCACGGTAATAGTTGTTCCTTGATTTCCAGCACAAGCTTTTGGGGGTCCCTTCAATAGCCCATCCTCATATGTGGCCCTGTAAAAGTTATATATTATTTATACATTATTTAGTCAAATCTTTAATACATACTTGTAGCCACAGGACTCATTAGCTGTTTTAGTTTGTATGGATAAGTGAGCCACATGGCTTATGCTTGCCAAAGCTTCTCCGCGAAATCCGAAGGTTCCAATATTGCTTAAATCTTCGAATTTCGATAGCTTTGACGTTGTAAACCGTTCACACACGATAGGAAGATCCTCTCGTCGTATGCCTGTCCCATTGTCTTGTATCTGCAATAGTTTCAGGCCACCAGATTTCACAGTTACCTGGATATGAGTTGCTTTCGCGTCTAGACTGCAAGATTTCGAAAGGAATATTTTTTAAACTTATCGTTACATATACATACAAACTATTCAACCTGTTCTCGACGAGCTCTTTGAGTGCGTTAGACGGCTTTTGAATGATTTCTCCAGCTGCGATCCTATTTACAACGACTTCATCTAATTTCTTTATCACGCCCGGCTCCATTTTATCAACGTACGTTAGGAATGTCGGGGGAAAAATATCGATGTGCTGATAGGAGCACGAATTTTTATACGATACGATACCATATCGATATTTTTGCCATTCAATACCGATACTTTTTGCTCGATAGTTTTCAAACGATATTTTTAAATGTACATTACAAATTAGGGCAAGCCTATTTGTATAAAATTTTTTGTAGAGTTCCGAAATGTAAAAATCGGTTCTGATTTTTTATATCTGCCGAAGTACCTAACGTGACGTTACCTGACGTTACGCTAATTAAGTTTTCATTGCAGCTTTTTTTGTTAATATTGTTTTTAAACTAATTTGTGCAAATAAAACATGAACTTTTATGCGATTTATATCTGGCCAAGGACTGTCACTCCAGCAACACTCCCCAAAATCTCTTTGGGGAATTTGTATGCTGTTAAAACAACAACAACAACAACATGAACTTTTATGTCTAATATATTTTTTATTTTGACTACCTAGCGGTTTAATTACAAATCTACGTCGTACTATGACCTTAGGTTGGCACCTCCGGTGATGCCATTTTAACACACTTACCTCTACATATGTAAACACTTTTTAAAGTTCAAAGTGTTCATTCTTTGTTAGAAAATGAGACAAATATTCAGATTTAATTTTGTGAATTTGGTATCAATATTTGGAATATAGTCTTTTTATCCCGATACTAAGGGGTGCCCGATATTTTTACAGCGATACTTTAATTGAGTATTATATCGATACTTTTGTTTCGATATCGTGTCCCTATGTGTTGAAAATATCAACGTTTTGCTTCGATGCATTGCAAGTTTTCCACTCGATAGGCAATGTATCGATATATCAACGTATGGGTTTTAAAATTGAACCACCATTTCAGTACCTATACAATTTTGCAAAAAAAAAGAGAAGTGAGTCTGATCAACATTTTTTTTTAAGAAAACCTATTTTGTTCTGAAATATTTGAAAAATCATTTGCAAATGGATGGATCGATACATCGATACATTTTTGTCACTGACATTCCTTTCACGCGTCGTTACCACAAATCATGCATTTTGTTGGTTACTCTAGAATTAATTTAACATAACTTACCGTATGAAAGAGTGAAAGATTACTCAAAAAGTCAACATAAGCCAGAAACGAACATATTTTGTTTTTGTATTTCCCTTTTCAGCTGATTGACAGTTCGCCGCTTATAATACCACATCAAAAAATTCACGCGAAAAAAATGTTATTTTCCAGAAATACTAAAACAAAAATCTGGCTAGCCTTATTTTTCACCGCTTTCAATTTCCCCAAGACCGTAATTTACTGTCCGTCTCCACAGGATAAAGTTTATATCTTGATACATATGTTAGAGCATAAATAGCCAACCGAGACCGCTCATTGCTCTTCAAGAGCAATATATATCAGAGCTTATATCTTGCCATCTATTGTCGGCAATTTGGTAGTTTGACAGCTACATGTTCATTTGCATGAAAACTTCGTGGCGGCAACATTATTGATATTTTAATATAAAAGCAAATATTGAACTGTTTTCGATTAAAATATTGTTGCTTCCCATTTAAAGATCCAAGGACTTGAATTCAATAAAACTTGACGCGTGTGGAAGCAAAGAGAAAAAACAAAAGAGAATGCGATAAAAATTGCTTTCCAGACTTGACGTGTCTGAAAGGGGACATATTTTCTAAATTTTTTAAGTGATTAAATCCGGCAAAAATACGTTTTAGAAGCTATCTCACAGATGCTTATATCAAGATATAAAAAGCCCACACAAATATTGCCACTGATATAATTTATATCTAGCGACCAAAATGAAAGCTGGACAGCAATAAATTTTATCCTATGGAGACGGCCAGTTAAGAATATCAAATCTGCAGGTTCCCTAGTTTCTTATGGTAAGTCCTAGTCTTACTGAAGTGCCCTAGTCCCTAAATATTAAGCCATTCTTAACACCCTGTGTTTGCTACAGTTTGTATTGTATGACATTCGATGCAACATGTCAGTGTAGAACACTCTTTGTTATCCTGTTTCGCGGCCAAAAAAAGATGACTGCCGCTTGCTGCTCACTAGCGTTTAGTCTCTCTTTGGAATTGTGCGGATACGGATGTTTAGTCGCGGATGTGATGGTGTTAAGGCTCCATTAATTTTTTATTTGTGTTTGTATTAAGTGCAGCTTCCTCGCCACTTTGAAAAATTGTGTTTATGAATGATTCTTAAGTTAAATATGTGAATATGTAATTCAATATAAGTGCAAACGCGTTGTGCGCAACGCAGTGCGTGTAAAAAGATCTTTGGTACATAAAGTTATTGAAATTCTGCAAGAAAATATACACATCCATATGTAGCTATGTACATGCATACATAAGTATGTATACGCGCACAAAGTAAAAATGCAAAGCGAATAAAGCGGAGAGCATAAAGCTAGAATTGATTGGTATGTTGCTTGAAAATTTAATAAAATCGTCGACTAACATGAATTAAAGAGAAAAAATAAAAAAATATTGTAATGATATTGCAAAATCTTCGTTGAAAGTATCAAAATACATATTCCGGCTGCTGGAAGGTTCTGACAAAATATTGTAGGTATTTGTGGTTTGTTTAGTAGCGACCGACCGACCGGTTTCCGTATGCAACTCATTACCTTTGCTGCTTTGCTTTGCTTAAGCAGCTACTACAACAAAATATTAGCTTTGATGTACCTAGCGTTTTAAATTTATTTCATTAATTACTGAATATGTGTTTAAGACACACATACACACATCCATATATAGTTCTGCTATCATCTAATTGGTATTTGAAAAAGGCATATTTTATGCATTTGCGTATACCTACATACATATCGTCGTTTAAAGTACAAAACCGCGTATCGTCATTTTACAAAACCGCGTAACTGACATTGGCTGCGGCTGCCAAAAATTGGATTNAATTAATACAAGATGCATATTAGGGCGGGTCAACTCTTTTACAATGCGCGTATAACATTGGAGGACGGTTCTGCCTGTAATTCTAACCAAAATTGCCGAAGAAACCATGGGTCTAAAATCAATTTGGAGTTCACCAAATTACGAAAATAGGGTTCGAAGAAAATGTAAAAATATTCACTGTTGCAACCTCTGGTGGAAGTTTTAAGAAAAAAATAAGTGCAAAAACAGATTCGTCATATCAAAACACCCCTTATTGCATGCCATTGTACAAAATTTAGCACTAAGAAAACTATTTTCGCAATTTGCCAAACTCCAAATTGATTTTAGACTCATGGTTTCTTCGCCAAATTTGCTT